GAATCATCTCTATCCTGACCATACGTGTCACTCCAACAATTGCGTCGTTACCTAACACATCGAATGAGACGACAGTTAGAAGCTTTTGGCTGCTGGAATACACCTTATACGCCTTCAGAATGGCGCATATGATGCTGATGTGTGTCGATCTTTTTAATAGATTTATTAATATTTTAATAATGTAAATTACTAAACAGGATTTAAGTGCATATAAATATTTTTAAAAAACCAATTCGCGAAGAAGATAACGCCCTCCCAGGCCAGCCTTATTTTTGGTAAGTTACAGGTTATATACATTATTTTACTCTGCAAAAATTATGGAAAGACAAAAAACAAAAACCTTCTTTGCCAGGTCGATATTTTTTAGCTTTGAAAGATTCAAACATTAATTATTAATTAACTATGCAAATGAATGCAAAAAAAAAAAAAAAACAAAAGCTCTTGTACGAAAGGCCGACTTTTTGAGCTTTGGCAACAAAATATTTTTACTATATATTTTAAAAAGTGAATAACTAAATTATCCCAAATCAATTTGTAAATAATATTTGGATTCTTTGGAAACTACAATTTTATTATCGCTTTCAAAACAATTATTAAATATAATGAAAGACAAAATAGCCAACACACTCTCTAAGTCTATGGTGTTTCTCCTCACAATACATAGTAAATAACTGGACCCTTTTAATTTTATTTTTTTGTAATGCCTTGTGTTGTTTTGTGTATATAGTATTTTGTATTATAAAATTAAACACATTAAATTATTTAATAATCAAATAATGTGTTGTGTTGTTTATAAAATCGTCTAAATTAAAATGATCACTGATTCAAATAATGTGTTGTGTTGTTTATAAAATATCACTGAGTATGTAATTTAATTTTTTTTCTAAAAAATACTTATTTTTTAAAGTTACTTGCTATTATTCATCATTGTTACTTCACCCTCTATAAGATAAGCTCCAAGGGACATAACTACGGTCACTATGTAAACAAATTCAATAACAAAACCCCATAGAACAACTATATGTTCCACTCTCCTTGTCTTTCCTACATTTTCAATCTCTATTATAATTTACTATTTAATATTTAAATATTAGATAATCCTTTATTTTGATTAAAAACTTATTTTATCATCATGATTTTTAACTTATTTATTATTTACTTAATAAATTGTATTTTAATTCCCTTATTTATTTATTTTAATTTTCTTTTATATTTCCCTTGACGAGTTGAAACCTTTTCGTTCGATTAATTTAAGGGATCTTATTTCTCCAGAATAGAAAAAACAAATATAGAGAGATATTAGCTATCACTTATTTTTTTTATATGATTTTTCTTTAATTTTATTACGTTCTTCTTCTTATTTTTATTTTATTCTTAACATTTCAGTACATAACGAGTTGGATCCTTCTCGTTTGATCAAACGAGGAGACCTTTTGCTATTCCTTCAATTTTTTTTATTTTTTATTATTTATTAGTTGCTCATAGGAGCCATCCACACGAGTCACGAAGCACCCATCAAGCATGGGAGAGGCTCCCATTTGTGTCTTTATTTTCAAAAGCACTCCACCACAAATACCTCCTCTCTTTTTTTATCTTTTGTTCTTAGTAAAAAGGATGTTTAGATTAAGTTACTTTTTAAAATATTTTTTATTAAAAAATTAAGAAAATAATTTTATTTTTTAAAATTTATCTTTAATTAGTATATCAAAACCATCTGAAATACAAAAAAATAAAAAATTATTTTTAAAATATAAAAACAAATAAATTAAAAATATCTCAAAGTTTTGCGATGACGTGATGAACAAAGCTAGGAGGGGATAACCCCTCAATCACTATCTAGACACAACTTTATCAGTTGTGCACGTCACTAGCTCCGGATTGACGTTTGAGAGAGACGTAAAGCAAGTAGAGGATGCTTATTGGTGCTGGATCTATCCTATTTAAAACTTTTTAGCTTGGATTTATTTGGATGTATCCTTATAATTATTTTATAAAATATTTTTTTATGTTAAAATATATTAAAATAATAATTGTAGCCCTCGAAAATAGTTAGTTTTATTAATTATTGTTTGTATAAAAAGAAATCTATTTTGTTTTTATTGATTTTTATTTTCAAAATATTTATAATACAATAAATATTGTTCAATACACAGTAACCTAAAAAATTGACATTATGTCAAGTGTAGGAGAATTATTTCTCTTCGTGCATGAGTGCTATGAAATTATTGTACATAAGAAAAAAAATAATAAAAAAGACAAACTTCATAGAAGTTCTCAGATTTTGTGGACAGTTTTGATTAGGTCCCTAACTTAAATTAGATCCTTAATGCATCCATGAATTCTTAATCATATCCTTCTTTAGCTTTTAATGAAGAAAGCTATTACATAATCACATAAAGACCACACAAATCTTATTTTCTGCACGCGCACGCATGCGATATAAGCCCTAACATAATTACATTTCTTCATATAGTCTGTTCTATAATGTATACATGGAAGATTTTAGCGAATTGTACTTGAAGTTGTGGCTCAGGAAAGGACTTGTTTGTTTTCTCTACATGTAAGTTCGATTTTTTTAATATATATTTATTATCCTTGCAGTAACTTACCTATTAACGAGGGTTATAAGATATTTAATGGGTATGTGAATTAGTTATTATTGTGTGTGTATATATATATATATATATAAATTATTTAAGAAATTAAATTGAAAAATAAATATTCAAAACAAAATATATATAGCAATCAAAAGTTTGATGATCAAATTTAATGTAACCAACAAATAATGATATATCTAAATTTTTCATAACTTTTAAAAAGTATTTTCCATCCAAATTTTTCAAGAAAATACTTTCCTGAAAACCAAGCTCAATTTTTCTTTGACTAGAAAGTGTTTTCCGTTGACTAACTTTCCAATGCAAAAAAACACATGAAAATTTGAAAAGTGGTTTCCTGGAAATCATTTTCCTGAAAACAAACACAGCCAAAAGAAAAAACACTTTCCTGGAAACCAAGTCAAATTTTTCTTTAATTGGAAAGTGTTTTCCATTGACCAACTTTCTTAACATCAAACAAATACAAGAAAATTTAGAAAGTGATTTTTCAGAAACCACTTTTCAAAAAACAAACACAGCAAAAAAGAAAAATATTTTCCTGAAAACCAAGCCAAATTTTTATTTGATTTTCTTTGACTGGAAAATATTTTTCATTGACCAACTTTCTTAACAGCAAATAAACACAATAAAGTTTGGAAAATGATTTTTTAGAAACTACTTTTCAAAAAACAAACACAACAAAAAAAGAAAATGCTTTCCTGAAAACCAAGCCAAATTTTTCTTTAACTGAAAAATGTTTTTTGTTGACTGAAAAGTGTTTTTATTGACTGAAAAGTATTTTCCGTTGATCAACTTTTCTAATAGCAAACAAATACAGAAAAGTTTAAAAAATGGTTTTTTGAAACTAATTTCCGAGAAACAAACATGACCTTAACCATTTCGCTAGCTTAATTGAAAATCTATAGATATTCCAAGGACCTAATTGAAATAAAAAAATATTATTTGAGATCTACTGGCAATTACTCTTATAAGTTGGGTATCTTTTTGAGTCTGTCCAAAGAAAACATCAGTGAAGGCCCCGCAGCCACCTCCAGTTTGGTTGCAAAGTCCATTTCATAATCTCCACTGGATTCTGGTGGAGGTCCTCTTCCTGTAGGATGCTTTATTAAAAGAAAAATATTCCGGCTGCTTTCCAGAGACTTTTCCCTTTTCTGATTCACAATGGACCCAAGCTGAGCAATCCAAGCATCTTTGTAGATTTCAATTGAAGGAGAATTTAATTTATTTACATTTCTGCTGAAGATTTCAATTTGGGTGGCTAATAAGCCAATAAATAAATTCCATACGACGAAGTCACCATTATTTCTATCTTCTTTCTCCAATTTAAAAGATTGTGTTTATCTCTAATGTTAACTCCAACATGGTTTTTCATATTATTATTGTCTAATAAAGTGTCAATTTTTATTTCTGCTTTATATGCTTTTTAAAATGTATCTGTTTTTTAAAAAATATTAAATTAATATTTGTTTAATATTTCTTGTTGATTTTAAAAAATTAATGACAAAAAATAAAAAAAATTATTTTCATATATTTTTAAGTAAAAAACATTCTATAACACAATCTCAAACACCTATTTAAATTAAAAAATAACATTAAAAGTTGAAATTTACTTCAAATTACCCCAAAAAGTTAGAATAAATACTTCACTATTAATTTTTTTGGTAGAGAAACAATTTTATTCAAAACCCAAATTATAAAATCCACTCTCTCACATTTTACATCAGAATGACTAAATAAAATAATATATATATATATATATATATATATATATAAAAGTTAGAGAAGGTTTATTTTTGTATTTTAAAAATATTATTTTCAAAATTAAATTTTTATTTTATTTTATTTTTAAATTATTTTTTTAGTATTTTCATATTGTTTTAATATATTAATATTAAAAATAAATTTAAAAAATAAAAAAAATATTTTTATTCATTTTAAAAACATAATTACTTTTAATCTATGATGAGATTTGATTTGATGTTCACATTATCATTAAGGGTTTAAATATAAAAAATACAATAAATAAAATAAATATTTTATTGTAAATGTATCTAGATAGTTGAAAGTTAGCGCCAACAAGCTTTTAAAAATTTTTTTAAAGTATGACCATATATATATATTTTCAAAAGAAAACATGGCTTACTTGGAAGGTATTGGGTAAAATAATAATATAACAACTATTGTAACACGTGGAATTGTCTTCTCTCCCAACTTTCTCAGCAGGCCATAAAGATGGCCTGACCACTTTACTTAAATCGTCGTTTCCTAAGATATTTCTCTGCCCATTGAAGTGTTCCTCTCCATTGTAAACCCTATCTAGCCAGTCGCTTCCTCTTCTTCAACTTCAAGCCTCCCTTCACCTCCCTCGGAAAAAAAAATTAAAAAATGGGGTTCTCCTTTGTTGCAGTGAAGATGCCAAAATGTTTTGGCCTCCAATTTCTTCTAGAGTTCGTAACTTTCATCAAGTTGTTGTTTCTATTGACTCTCAGCAATCTACTTATGTCCAGGACACTTCGACAACCTTATAATACTGATCAAGATCAACATCCCACAGAGGATTATGTTCTTGTAATGGGTGAACTAAGTCCATCACCGATTCCAGTCCCAGTTTCCGTCCTAACAAGGCTGATCAAGAAGAAGCTTCCAGTGATGACATTCAGCAGCTTGCTTGAAAGGTTAGTGAAGAATGAAGATGATCAAGAGAGCATGTGTCCTGTCTGCTTGGATTGTATTCAGGAAAGAGATGAAGTCAGAGAACTATGCAACTGTTCTCATGTGTTTCATATGAAGTGCCTGGATAGTTGGGTGGATCAAGGCCAGGTTACCTGCCCAACTTGCAGGTCCATGCTGTTTCCAAAGAAAATGGAAGCTGCTGAAATGTTTATAGTTGCTCATGATGATTCGGCCATGGTCGAGCAAGTTGGCTAAAGTTATCTCTATCTACAGCTCTGTAAATGATCTTCCTCGATCTAATTTATGATACGCTCTTCGTTTCAGTGCCCGTCTGATTTTCAGTTTTCAATTTCCCATCCTCTACAGGGATAGATCTTAGCAGATCTTCACCAATCAAATGAACGGCCCCTCAAGGTCTGAAAAGTTTAGCAAAATTGGCGTCATCCAAGATTCCAAAATAGTTGAATGCCATTGTTGGAGGTAGTCTGTGTAAAGATGGCTCCCCCCCTCTCTTTTTCTCACTAAAAGAAATTATTAGGAAATTGATCTTTGGAAATAGGCATGTTTGTCACTCAACAGTCATGCGATTCTCAATTTCGTCCCCAAACTCAATTGTATCCCCTGTTTATCAAACATTACCCAATTAATCACATCATTAAGATTTATGACAGAACAACATCATTTTCAGACTATTAAGTCCTTCTTGTAAATGATTTCAAAGGAAAAAAGTATTAATTTGAGGTTTAATAGGTGATGGTCAATAGATAAGGGACCTGCCTAGAAATGTATTTTGATCGAGGATCAATTGAGAATTGGGAGATAAATATGTCCTTCTTTGTGTGTTTTATGACACAGATACGAGTCAAAACTACAATAACTACTGGGAATAAATACATAATATTTAATTTCTATTCATGCAAATCTACTTCTCAGAAGGTTTTTATAATCTTTTATATAAAAAACTAAAAAATCCCAATAAAAAAATAAAATAGGATAGTTATTTTCTTTAAATAGAAAAACTAAAAAGCATATCAAAATTATAACTATTTGTTATAAAAAATTAAAATTTATATATCATTGTCATCTTAATTAAGTTTTTATTTGGGAAAACCTAACGGTTAAATACTACTCATATTCCATTCAAATTAAAAATTATCATGAGGATTTTATCTTTATCAATTATTTTTATATTAGATTTATAATAAAACCAAAAAATTTATAACATTAATTAAAATATGAAAAAATAAAATAAATAAGTTAATGTTTTCTATTGCTAAAAAAGTTCGTATGTAAAATACTATAATATGGTATTAATTATTATCTTTGAACTTATAAAGAAAAACCGTGTAAATTCCAAATTTAGTATAATTTGTAGGAAAATATTGTATTTAAATAGACAATTTTAATTTTTTACTTAATTTATTTAAAAAGTTTGGAGTATTATTTTATCTATATGGTATGCACTAAAAATCTGAAGGCCCATACAACGAGTCAATGGCCTTCCCTCATTAACGGTGAGAATGATGAAAAAACACAAACAAAGAAGAAAATCGGCAACTACAATAAGTTTCAAAGATTGGACTGGAATTTCTGAAAAAAAAAGAAAAAAAGATTGGACTGGAATTTCTGAACTGTGAATTTTTCAATGGAACTTGTTAAACAAGCTGATGACTCACGGACAACGCCTTCAAAAGACGGCAATGGCACCATTGCTATCAAATGCGGTTTGTCTTTTCTATCAAGACTTAAGAATCAACGCATTCAAGTCACATCACGCATGACACCTTCCATAAAGTAAAAAGGGGGAAAGTAAAAGAAATTGTATAAAAATCCTACAAATTTTAACTCTATTTTCAAAATTGGCTTTCAAGTTCAAAAAATTGCAATTATATTGATAAATCATAGTTATTAAATCGGATTAAAAAATTGATCTAATGCAATACTAGGATCACAATATATTAACCTAAATCAATACTTTAAAAAAAAAACTAAAATAATATTATTTTAAAATTTTTTAAAAGGTTAAATTAGATAACAAGTTGACATGTTTGACTTGGTCAACTTTGAATTGAATTTTTTTAATACCTAACCTGTTTAAAAAGTGCGGACTAGGTTCCATATTGATCTATCACACCAAACCGAGTTTAATAACGATACAACGAATCTATTTGGTCATTATTTATATTTCATAGTCTTCTTGCAAACTATTATAGAAATGGTCAAAGTTACATATCTTTTGTGTACCACAGGCAAAAATAAAATAAAATTAGTTCTAGTTAAAGAAAATTACCAGATTAGAATTTCAAGTTAACTGAGGTATAAATAGAGATTTTAGTTATGTTTATTGGAAATCACAAAATTGAGATTTCAGGTTAACCGAGCTATAAATAAAGATTTTGGTTTTGATTAAAGAGAATTTTTATATTGGAATTTTAAGTTAACCAAGGTATTAATAAAAATTTTAATTTTGATTAATAGAAATTGCTAGATTGAGATTTCTGGTTAATCGGGTTGTAGTAGATATTTTGATTTTGGTTAAAAGAAACCAACACATTAGAATTTTAGGTTAACCGAGCTATAGATATAGATTTTGGTTCTAGTTAAAAGAAAGTATCAGATGAGGATTTTAGGTTAACTGAGTTATGGATACAAATTTTAATTATGTTTAAAGGGAATTGTAAGATTGAGATTTTAGGTTAACCAAGTTATAAATAAAGATTTTAGTTATTATTAAAGAGAATCACTACATTAAAATTTCAGGTTAACTTAGCTATAAACACAAATTTTGATTTTGAATTGAAAGGAATAATTGAGATGCAGGTTTGAATCAAAATTGAAAGGAATAATTGAGATGTAGGTTTTCAAATCAACTGAGCTGAGAACAAAAGTTGCTAAGATGAAAGAATTCATTTCCTGACGAAAACAATTAAATCATAGTTCTTATTGAAGGGGATTGTGAAGACAAAGTTTCAACTCAACCAAACTAAAAATCCTGAGAAGATTATGTTTGAAGAACAATTTGTTTGTCTTTATAAACTTACTATGCAAAACACTTAAGAAGTCTTTGCTCTATAAGTATTATAAATAGAGGTTACATGTTGTTACCTATTTTTTGCTCCCTACATAATATAAAAAAAAGGAGAGAAAAATAAAAAAATATTAGAGGAAAATTAAAAAAATATATTGGTGAGAAGAATATACCATAATGCTTAGGAAATTGTCGAAGACTGGTTGAGGAATTCAAAATATAGAAGATTGAAAAATTTGATAGTGTATTTTTTACTGATAAAGGCTCTATTGGAAAAAAAAATCAATCTCATGAGAAAAAATTAAAATTAGATGTTGATGGACTCAATTGGATTTTTTTCAAGGTTCAAGTGAATTTATTGAGCGCATAATTGCAATAAAAATTAATTTTTAAAATCAATTTAGACTTTAATTAGAAGAAATTAAAGTATAGGTGTTGAATTATAATTTTTAATAGTTAATTTGGTTACATCATGGGTTTAATTGCATAAATATTGAATTTTGATGGGCAATTAGAGACTTGATTGAAAAAATCAAAAACCAAGGACCAAATTAAAAAATATACGTGTATGTAGGGGATGAAATTAACCAAATCAAAGGCCAAATTTAAGAAATTGGTAGTTTGTCGGTTAATTGAGGGTGAAAATATACAAATTCAAAACCAATAATTAAAATAAAAATAACAATCAACTTTGAGGCTGATAATTGAATTTGACAATAATCAATTTGCATGAAATTAATAGTTGAGAGACGATTATAAGTGTAATTAAAAGTAATTAGAAGAACATGTACTCAATTAAATTTTCTAATCCTAAATTAAAACCTTAAATGATATGTTGTGCAAACTTAATGAAGAGAAGGTGAGTGACATACTGTTTGTCACTTGGACATCCCTATTTCGATAGTTTTGGTTGATCAAATTAGCAATTTTAAATGAATGAATATGGAGCTGCAAATCTTCAAATTGAGTAAAGTTGGATTCAAATGAAATATGTGCATCTCCTTTAACAATCTTAAATGGTCTTAGGTTACGATGATGTTAGAATTACTATGACATGACCTTGAGAATGGGCAGCCTAGTTAGCCCTAACAATGAAATTATTATGCTAAATTGACCTTCTTTTCATGTATTCACACATGAAGCTTTCTTAATGGGTTTTTATCAAAGATTTACAATACTTTTCTCAAGATTAAAAGGTCTGAAATGGATTCAAAACCTCTTAAAACAGTAGCAAAATCCTATTAATACCCCCTAAGATCAGTGGAACAAAAGGAAAGAGAAAAAAAAAGATAAGAAAAGATAAGAAAAAGAAAAGAAATATCAATAAAAAACATATCTGCAAAGGTCCAAAAGTTTAAACAAAAAACTTTTTAAGCTTTGCAAGTTTGTGAAAGATAAAAGAGAGTAGTTGTTCTAGAAATACATTATCGATCTAAAAGGAGGTTCTTTATGGTTTGATTTTGTTTTTTGTTTTATTTGATTTGTTTTATATTTGTGTTTTCAAGCATAAAAAGAGGTTTGAAATGCTTATCATGTAATGTTGCATTCACCTTTTTATTGTAGTGTTTGTTATTTAATGATGTTTGTTTAAATTCTTTTTATATTTTTGATATATTAAAGTTGTTGTTTAAGATTATTATATATATATATATGTTATTTTAATTTTTGTTTAGCTGAAGCTATATATGTTAAAATAATAGTGTTTATCCTAGGTTTATAAGGCCTCTTTATATACAAAATAAATTCATAAATCAATTTTGAATCCATATTGCATGAACATGTAAACTGTTTTAGGTTGATAATTTTTGGATTTGATAATCATACTTGATTTAAATATGTTTGTGTATGATATTGTCACTTGTTGGGTGAAAAAAATACATGTTTTAGAAGCCAAAAATGCTCATTTTTAGGGCTTTGATAGTGGCTAGGCATGAGTGGGTTTTTTCTAGGTTCATGGGCAATGCTCTTCACATTCCTAGGAAGAATACTGTCCTAATCTCTTGATTTGGACTAATTTTGATCTATTTCTTTGCATAAAACCTTTTTTTATACAAGATTAATTCATAATCTAGTGTTTTTTTTTTTTGCTTCATAAATATAATTTTAATGGTTTTTAATCCTAGGGTTTCAATTTAGAATCAAAACTCATTTGATAAAATCATGACGTTTAAAAGATAATTGAAATCAATGGATGTTAATTATTGATCCTGCCATGATTTTTCACCAG